GACTAGAGGGAAGGCAGCTAGTCATCACCACCCACCGCCAACTCTTGGTGCTACTCTTTTACCAACGAATTGTGGGATTGACCGTCACATTATAACGCCTCCACGGCTGAAAGGGCGAGCATGTTTAGTGTGACGGGGGGGGGGGGGTTAAATCTAATTATTGATAATGAATCCACTTAATTTAATCAAATAAACGTGTTCTCATGCGACGTATTACAAGATATATATATAATATAACCACTTTTTTGGAATATATTTTACTAATCTTTTATTTTTTTTTCTATAGCGGAAAAAGAGCCATCCCTCAGTTCCAGCCAATAGCAGAACCGGTTTACAATAATGATGCTGACCTTGTTTATGCTTGGCTAACCTTGAAAGGTAGCAATTATGCGGTAGAACCGACTAATAAATTGACCATCCCGTATTAGTTAAGGTAAGTATCGAAAACTTGTATATCATCCAAGTTTTCTTGCTGTAAAGGCAGAAAGAGTAGCAATATGTCTAGTAAAATAAGACATGCATGTTGTGACGTGTTTCAAGCACGATTATATACATATGTTTTAGTCATTAGTTGTTTGGTATTTTAAAACAAAGCTACATTTGCGCGGGGAATTGAACCCTGGATCTTAGCGTTGTAACTCCGGAGGCTTATCGCTCACCCAGCAGGAAATTATTGTTAATACTCGAACATTGTTCGGCTCAACACAGGTTTGTTTGTTTGTTTTGTTTTTTGAATCCGGTTTCGATACCCGTAGTGGGCAGAGCACAGATAGCCCTTGTGTAGCTTTGTGCATAATTAAAAACAAACAAACAATTAATGGATTATTGATGTTAATTAAATCATCAATCTATAATATCTATAAGTTAGAGAAAATAATTCTGGATTTTACAAAGTATTTATAAATTTATTTTAATAATAGTAAAGATATAAACTAACAACACTGCTTGAATAATTAGCACCCATTGGTATACCTACTATTTGTTTATAGATATGTTTATCAAAATGAATATGGTTATTATATATGCAAAAACTGAACATATTTTTGAAATTGTTTGTTTTTCTATCTTTATAGGTACATTTATAAATCGGTCCATTTTCTTTTCATTTTCTGCGTAATATTACAATTAATTATATATTATTTGACTGTTTCAAAGAAATGCTTGAAACTGACATCACAACATTTTCTCAGCAAGAACTGCTTTACAAACTCTGCGTTCTTGATCCCTTCCTTTACAATTAGGCCCGGCATGGCCAGGTGGTTAAGGCACTCGACTCGCAATCTGAGGGTCGCGGGTTCGAATCCCTGTCACACCAAACATGCTCGCCCTTTCAGCCGTGGGGGCGTTATAATGTGACGGTCAATCCCACTATTCGTTGGTAAAAGAGTAGCTCAAGTGTTGGCGGTGGGTGGTGATGACTAGCTGCCTTCCCTCTAGTCTTACACTGCTAAATTAGGGATGGCTAGCGCAGATAGCCCTCGTGTAGCTTTGCGCGAAATTCAAAAACAAACAAACAAACCTTCACAGTCATAGCTTCGCTTTATCGTACACATGACATTTGCATAGTAGCGCCAGAGATCAAGTAACACAATTTCATACCAAAAATGTATCGAATATTCCCACGTACACCGTGACACCTCCAGCACGCCTTCCATAGTCATTGTAATAAGTTGTGTTAATTAATTTCGTAGTTGTCAAATACAGACAGGAGAGCGCGTGTGCGTACATTCCATCTTGTTAGGTAGAGGGGGTCGTAGTCTGAGGGCATCGGATGAGAGCTCCCGCGTCATGTCAGTGAAGATTTGTTGGCGCTTCTGTGACTTGTAAATTAGTTGATCCATTTCCATGACCAAATTGAGTCTCTCAAATTCACATAAGTTGCGGATGCATTGTAAAGACACAAGTTCAAACAATTTGAAAAACAATGGACCTGGATGGCATTGGCATTTTTAATTCACAACTGTCTCGCTACTCCATGTAAACGAGTCATAATGCTTGCTGGCTACATCATAGTAGGCTTGACCACGACACTGAGGCAGTGGCAAGAAGCAATGGGTTGGTATGTCTAACTGCTATGGTCAATAAGGTAGTGTCAGTGTTGTCAACGTATGCCATTAAAATAATCATTTCAAAAATGATGAAGTTTTGATCCACCCAGCATATGCGTATTTCCAGCTATTCTTTGTTGTCAATGTCTTGCGTTTCATTTGCAAGGATGGCAAAGTGTTTAACGTTCTTGATGTTACACAGTATGCTCTGCAAAATGTCATGAACCACTAGTGTGATATACTCGTTTACAATGTTGGGTGATGTGTAATCTCCATTAGTAGCCCAGTTTTTCAGTTTAGAAAAGCCCTCCAATCTGAGGTTAAGTAGCTGCCTCAGATTAACTTCTACGTTGGTATGCCCCCCTGACGGTCACAACTTGATGTAGAAGCCATTTCAGACTGGATAACTGCTTGGGCAGATTATTCCTATGATCATCTTAGAGTCCCAACATTTGAGTATTTAACTGTGCAGCCATGTTGGCAGTTTTCCTTTTCTGCGTTCTTATACACGCCTCTCTGTGAAATTCGCTCGTCTGATGACTTGAAAATAATTCACGATCTTTTTTTCCAGTATAAATACCCATCAGTAGTGAATGCTGGTTCAATATGTCTCCTTAAGTTATGGTCATTCGATGCTTTAAGTTAGCCAAAGAAAATCTTTCTACAAGTGTGCTTGAAAAGGATGATATTCCTTCTCGTTCCCTAATACAGTTAAAACTTAATTGGAATTATTATTGACTAATCGAGCATTAACACACCTGTCTTAAAAGTTTTTGGTTTTGTTGTTGTTAAACAAAAAAGCTACAAAATGGGTTATCTGTATTCTGCCCACCAGAGGTATTGGAATCTGAATTTTAGTGTCGTAAATATGCAGACTTACTGCTGAACCACTGGGAACATTTGAAAGGCTCAGATCATATAAAATAATAGCAAAATTAGAAAGTAAGATGTACCACTTGTCATTTTCGAGGAACTGTAACCCTCATTTTTAATTATTTTAGATAACCTGTCTCCTGAATAGT